TATCTAAAATAAGATGTGAGGAGATGGAATGATTCATAGTTTCTAAATTCATTTTATTTTGTTCTCTTTTAATTCGTTGTAAAATTCTTGCCTCGGCACGCACACATCTCCTCTCTGCACCTGATCCCGCCTCGTAAAGAGCAGCTGCATCCTTAAACATCCATTCACTGCGGCGCTCCTCCCGCCGCCCGCCCGTAACAATGCTTGTCATGGTTTCTTCAAATGGCGCACTGCACTCGTACAGCACCTCCCGCAGGCGGGCATTCACGTCTTGCAATCGATACTTCATAACTTCTCTGTGCGCTTTGCTTAGGACAATGCGTGCATTATCAATATTGTATTGTCCGTTGTGGTGTGCCAGATTATAGGGACGACCAGTCTAGAGGGCTTTCAAACCAAATCGAGCCGAACATGTCCCTGACTGTAAGAGACGGTCAGCCTCCGAGTCAGTCGCTTCATATTAACGAGGAGTTCGAGGCATACTTTTCTGTTTGCTATAAGAATGAAAGTGGGGACTTAAGATGACTAGAAGTATATTTTTCAAATCAGTTATCTTTCTATTTTTTTACTTTCTTTTAATTGTGAAGTAGCGTAAAGTATGGAATGTAGCAAACCTTGATAGTGAAATTTTGATGTAAATAGACTTTTTTGGGGGTCCTGATACCCAAAAAATATTTTCTTTTTCAAAACGACTGTTCGTCCCTCGATCTTTCCGTCTGTGAACGTCTGTAGTCTCTACACCGTACACTAAATTTTCATCGTTGTTGTTATTCCCCAATCAATCTGGCTGATGTTACGGCCCCTTGAATTTTAAGCGGGAATTTTATTTTTTTGGGTTACTTTACTGCAAGCTCCTATGATATTTCAAAACGTTTCTCAAAAATTCAATGTAAAATTTTTCAAAAATTGCACCAAGAGAGGTGTCTTAGTGCTGTCACTACAGTGTCTCTGACCGGGTGTTCCTAGTTTCGAGTCCCGACAGTGGCAAGATTTTCGACCCTATCTTGTCACCTACGTCGAATTCAGTTGCTGTCTGGAGGATTCTAGAGGCCGACTGCTCTGATCGGTAACTTTCAATTATTTCTCCGATCAACATCAGGCGAATGCCGGAGCAGTACCCTAACAAACGGGCCACGCGCTATCTTTCTTCCCCCTTCCTTGTTATATCTTCTCCCATTTCACACACTACACGAACATGCACTACACTACCGGGAGACCGGTCGGGTGCTTAGAGATTGTCCCTATTGAGGAGGTGCCCCGCTGGTGGGAGATACCTGGGAACCCCCACTAGCCGGTAGGTCGACGCCGGATCTCGCCATTCAGCGGTGGAATCAACGCCAACTCCGAAGGAAAAAACATGCACTATACTTATGAAAATAATGTCCTCAATAGTGTAATGGAGCGGTCGCACGCGTCAGGTTGCAGGTATTTCAACATTTTATTCTATATAACGTTGCTGTGTAAGAAGGCCTCGAAAGGTGCAGCTTTCGCTACCTCCGTTGGTGTAGAAAGCGTCGTGGATGCGGAGGCATGCAGCTCCATTGTCAAGACAGAAGCGCGCCCCGAACACATCCGCTGACTCACCGGGAAATACGGACGCTGCCGCTTCATAACCTGGCAATTCAGCTACACCTGTTCTTGGAACTCGGATGATGTTTGAGTTTCAACGGAATTTGGCAAATCTCAAACGATCGTCAATGACGCCGCGATTGGGCGGAAGAAACCGCGTTGCACGCGTCTTCCAATCGCGGGAAACGAAGCGGGAGAGGGCCCCGTGACCCGCAAACCGCGGAGAGAGCTGCAACACACAAGCTCGGCCTTTCCGATAGAGGAGGCGACAGCGACCGTAAGTGCCTTTCCGAGGTAGGGACGAGGGCGAGTTTTTTTGCATTCTGAGAGGACGCCAGTTACCATATCGCCGCCGCGCCGCCTCCCGATTACATCATCGCCACATCGCGGCCGCCTCTGGGGTCGCTCACTCAAGGACGGACGCCACGATCACTGTGGGTTCCCGACGTCGAGCTCAGGACTGACGAGGGCCGAGGCGCTATCACCGCTGCCGTGAGTCACGCTGCCGATACCCGGATCAGGCGTTGCTAGCGCCTGGGACGCCACCACGCCGCCTAGCGCCCCGATCGCCTTGCTAATGGACAAAGGGGTGAGGCGAGACGCTGCCGTCGCCCGACCGCGCCGCCTCCTGACCGCACCGCGCCAAGCACCGGAGCGAAGGCCCACCGCTCCCGTAACCGGGGTAGTAACCGCCGGGAAGGGCGCCGCCCTGCTTCTGAGGGTGAATTCTGGCCCGTACGGCCGAAAGTAAGATAAGGTAGTTGTAAGGAAGTTTTAAGAAGTAACTATTACGGGAGGCTTCACCTCATGACAAAAGGAATACTAAACCCTCCTTTAAAAATGTATCTGTGTTTCAATGCAGTACTAGAAAGAGAATAAGCCTTATCACGCATGCCTCCCTGTAAAGAGTCTACAGACTGAGCAGCCTGAAAACGCTGGATCACCGTACCCAGGTATCAGGTGAGTCGGGGCATCCTCACGGTTCGTGTGGTTACAATAGTTGACGCGCCCGGAATCACTAGCAAATAACCAACCAATCAAAAATGGTTTCGTATTTTAAAATTGTTTTTATGGATACGAATTACTAAATGCTAAGTAAGTATTATAATAATGGCACGTGTCCTGTTGCAGTAAACCCATTAAAATTACGAAAATCGCCAAAGTATTTAGTTTGGCAATTTTCCAAATTAATGCCAAAAAAATTAATTTTAGACCTCCATACATTATTTAAGATATATGTTTTTAAACTGTTCTTCAAATTTGATCTTTAATTATTTGATCTTCAATTTTTTGAAAACAGATCAGATTTTGGGTACATTTGAGTGAATTCATAACAAATTAAAAATTCTGCAGCATCATAAACGATATTTTTCACTGATACATTTTTTTTGTTATTGTTTTTGATACGGCGCTCAATATACACTGCGTATCATACCTGAATCGAGAAGTTATGGTTTATTCGAGTGCTTACGAGGTAAATTTGAAAACAGTTGACTGATGCTTCAAGTTCTGTTATGGAGGGAATTATGAAAAAGAATTATGGGAGAGAAATTTAAAAGGATTAACCGAGTCAAGTTCACATCTATTTCATTAGTAAATACGTAAATCTGAATCATTAAAATTGGGTATAAAATAAAATCTTGTGTGTAGTACGTCGATCATTAACTAGTTGTAATTATCTGGGGACGACAAAATGCCCTAGGGTGTAAGGCCCTCGGGCGTTTTGTCGCCGTTCAATCATTAAAACTCTTATAACACCCTAGGTCAATTAATGACTATTATCGATCTATTACATGCAAAAATATCTAAATAAATTTACGAATTCTCTGTGCATTCTCAAAACAGGATCATATGATTCTGGATTCATTGAGCAGAAACATTACACAGCAATATTTTCATCCTGCAGCGGAACTTGATGAAAAATATGAGGGTTGTCGGTAGAACAATGCTGAGTGCAGAGAATTAACAGACCGACGCAATGAAACCTCTCCTTATCACTGGTAAGTGTCAGGTCTAGGTCTCCAACTACAATTTTTTAAGAAACCATTTGCAATAAAGAGACGTTTCTCTCAGTCTTTAGAAAGACTTTTCTAAATACTATGGAACCAGTATATTGTCAAGCACAAGTAACGAAGCACACGATAGCATCTTAACTTTTCCTTCCCGGTTGTTGTGACAACTTATAATTGACTTCGTAGGACTTGCTGCTGCTAAATGTTCTTAACAGCTTTCTTCCTGTGTGCGGTCATAACGATTACGATTTTGTTCCACATTCAAAACACAACCTGTAGTTTGCCATTTTGGAATTAAATCGTGAACTTGGCCAGGTCTCTAGTACAGGACATTGTCCTCTGAATTCTATGAATTTTGAAAGTAAAGTTGTCAATCAAATATTGATATTTCCTAATTAAAAATATTTTTTACAAGTTTTGATTTGATGAATATTAGTTGCTGCGGTCATGTTCCTGTATTATAGTGAACAACTGAAGTATTCCTGTTACTCCTTTTTTTTAAAACAAATATGTATCAGATATTGTTTATATATTTTAAATCCATCAATTTGGAAGACTTTATTAATGTATCGTTAATTGACTACATACTCGTAAATCAAAGACATTTTTCTTCTGTAAGATTTTGCGTTGAAGCTCCAGGCAATATTATGTGAAGTCGCCAATTTCAAATTTCTTCCCGCAGATGGCATACGTATTTGCTCTTTGTGATCAAGGCAATAAAACATCCGAATTAATAGTTTATTATAATACATAATTCATAAATTCTGGACATTTATAATAAAATTTACATCAACAGTTATATAAGGCGTTTACTATCGATACCAGCTCATTCCATTTGTGAAGAGTTTATCAGATATAAAAAAAGTGTAATCATGTCCCCACATGGTAAGATCAAAACGGGATATGTTCTCGCCACATTTTAGATGGGAATAAGCTGGATTTAAGTTGTATCTCCCCGGATGTTACGAAGCCAAAATCAGCAGAAATGAAAAAAATGTTAATATCAGTAAATAATTGAAAGAGCAGATTTTGATAACAGACACTTCAAATGAGCTTTTTGGCGACATTAAGGACAGATTCCGGAGTGTTAATATACACTGTAATATAATAGAACTCTGAATCAAAAATGAAGTGTTAAGTAGTTAACCAAATAAATTGTATAAATGCTATCATTCTATATAGACTACTTTGTATAACTGTATTCTAGTTAAATCTGGAGTATTTGATGCATCAATAGTTTGGAAATTTTATCAGTAAATGTGGTAGAAATAAAGGGAGTATTCTGCAGCTGTCGCCGTTTCTCGCTGCCTAATCTCCATTTCTTTCGATCTTCCCAGGCATCATATATTACGGTCACAATTGATCTTAAGTCTGCCTCCCACTTCCTTCTTGGTCTTCCTCTATGTATTCTTTCTTCAGGGTGGTATTTAACTATTGTTTTATACTGTGTGATGTTTTGTCTGTAAATCCTATTAAAATGGAGAGAAAAGGTAGTATAGCTGAGAAAGAGAAAAACGGAACAAATTTAGAAGCAGAGTTTTTGAACGTTTTAAATGAGAGCATCAAATTAATTGCTTTTTCTCCATTGCAAAATATTGCTGCGCACTTGGAGCGACTAGTGTCCCCTCGGATGCGGTGGCGAAAGTGGTTTCGGGGCGTGCAGGTGGGCGTACGCCGGTTCGCAATGATTCTCCAATCGGAAGACTGCCTGGCTGCGCGTTCGAGCCCCCCTCCGCCCTCCGCCCGACGCCTGAGATCTCTAACGAACGGGCTCAAGCCCTCTCCCCGGCGAGATACCAACCTTATCTGCACCGGCCACGCGCTCGGAACAATCTACCGTCTCCCCGTTCCCACTTTAGGTTGTCGGGGACGGTCGCCCAAAAGCTAGGTCGCGGTCCACAAGTTTCTCAGTAAAGTCGCTATCCGGCGCGCCGTAGATTAAAATAAACGACTGACGGCAACATCTCGGGAATCTCGGTAAGTTCGATGTATTAATTGGTTTCTTCTTTTTGTAGTGGGTGTGAGGATGATCATGACGGGCGTGAAGAGACTTCTTGAGAGCTATCTAGTCACTGCCTTTCACGGCTTCTCACGCACAAGGTGGTTACTGGCAGGTCAACTGCTAGAAGGCGCCACCGCGGGACATTGACTCTTGTTCGGGAACGCGCCCTACCTTTCCCTTTAGCATTGTTGCCACGGTTCTTCACGTGCGAAGATGCTGAATGAGGCTGAGATTCGTGCGGTAAAGTAATCCAGTTCTTCACTCTTTTGACTGATTAGCAAATGCATAAAAATCACTAATTGGATCGTGATATCAGAAATGTAACCAAGTCACTGAATCAAGTAATACCTAAACTACATGAGACATATTTTTAATGCATTGACTTTCATTGTCCATTCATGGTCCATTGTCCTTCAACTCAAGAACTGACGTTATTTCAACAACCACTGTTATCTATTAATTTTACTTAAACTTCCTACATTTAATGAACATTTCTTGCTCCTTAAAAACCTTTCAAAAAAAAATTTTTTTTCGCACCAGCCTTGCCATCGTTTGCCATACACAACCTGAAGTAATTGCCTTCTTTGTTTAACAATACATTTGTTGCTGATTCGAGGTTTAGACCTATAATCAATTTTGTCAAACTCCGTTCTCGGAAAATGATTAAATATTTAACTTACATTACTATTATTACTTTAACTTATACTAGTGGGTTTCGTTTGCATCACGATCCAGTTTCTGTCGCTGCGCTTTTCTTGCTTCTCGGTGTGAATTACCTCCCCTTGGTCGTCTCACTGCAGATCGTATCTGTGCCAATTCCGTAGTTCTTTAATTTGGTCTCTTTAATTAAATTAAACTGGTTGGAGTACTTCGGCTTCTTCCAGACGAGACCAACTTGATTTCTGATTCACTGACGCTCGATGCCCTAAAAAATTCATTAATATTTGGGTCAAGCGTAGTAAAAGTAACTCGTGCCATTTATCTGAATTTTGTTAGAGATAAAATGAAATGTAAATGATATTCGCATGGTAAAATCTTGATTTGGAATTTTTCAAGGTGCGAGAATTCCATCGGTTTTTGAAACGATTGTAGTGTCATAGAAGTGTAACCTCACACGGATCCCGTACATCATCAAACAGTAATTCTAGTGGCATGTTGTCGCGCGGCAATGCATCGCGGCGACGGCGGTGGCGACGGTGTCCTCGAGGGCTGGTCTATGTAAATTAGTGGAGCAAGGCGGTGGCGGGGCGGGGGCGGGCGCGCGCGGGGCGCGCGTGGGGAGGAGCGAGCAGTGCAAGAGGCGAGTCCCATGCAGTCGGCGGTCATGAGCACGAGCAGGGTGGGGAATGGGGAAGCAGGTGGAGGGGAGCGGCGGGGCCACGGCGAGTGCCTCCTAACGAAGTTGCTGAGCTTGGAGAGGCCGAGCGTCACGCCACTCACGCCCCGTCCCACACCTCACACTCGGCCGCCCGGCTCGGCTGGGGCAAATGACTACTTTCTATTTATACGACACTCACTGCAATTACGGCGTATTTAACTGGACCATCGAAATCGCGAAATATTAACTTTAATGTCCTTTTTTTAAAAAAAAAATATTACTATTTTGAATGTGATACATGGTTCATTTTTTCAATACAAACTTTTCCACATCTTTTGATGCTTACTATCTATTATAAAAAAACTAAACTATTATTTCTTTACAGTTATTTCCTAGGGAGAGGAATCTCACTGAATCCTCTCAAAGAATCAACCAAATTCGCAAATTGTATGTAAAACAATATGTTTTGGAAATCTATTTTTTATTCTGGTGGCGTTTATGGGTGCTTTGCCAAGGTTGTATTCGGATAGTTGTGTAATTGATAACATATTATAGTAAAAAGTATGGGATATGGGATAACTTGGTGATGTGATGTTTAGTAAGTTTTATTTGAATTTCTTTATGAAGTTGTTTGTTAATGATGAACCAGGGAGCATTGGTTATTGTTTTCAGGAATTTATTCTGTATGACCTGTATTTTATGGATATTGGTTTTGCTGCATTAATCCAGACAGGGCAGGTATAGAGCATTATGGCTATACTATATATATATATATATATATATATATATATATATATATGAGTTTGGTATTTTCTATAGTAATTTTAGTGTGTTTGTTGATTAATGGTTTTAATTGGATTAGTTAGACTTTTGTTTGTTATGTTTTCATGTTCATGTGTTCTTTCCAGTTAAGTTTTGTGTCTAAATGCAGTGCTAGATATTTCACTGTTTCGTTTTGTGGAGTTCAAGGAAAGGTGTTATTGTTCAGTGTGAGGGGTGGTGGTGTTGAAATTGTTTTTAATGAAAATATTTGTGCTGTTGTCTTAGCTGTGTTCAATTTAATTTTCCATTTGTTTGACGAAGAATCTCTTTGGTTTAGATGTTGTATTGTGTTCCTTAATATAATATGTGATGTGCTAGAACAATGCAATGCTGTATCATCTGCGAATTGTGCAGTATTGATTGTTTGGATGTAGGGACATCAGCTGTGTGAAGAATAAATAATATAAGTGACAGTGGGGAGACCTGAGGATGTCCAGCCAATATTGGTTTGGGGTTTCAGAGATGTTTATCTAGTGAAACTGAAAAGTTCTATTGCTTATGAAGCTATTGATGATGTTGCTTAGATATTTTGGTGTGCAAATGATTATAAGTTTGTTTATGAGACAGTATGCCATACTGTGTCATATACGTATGAAATGTCTAGAAAGGTTGATATAGTATGTAGATTTTTTGGAAATGATTAGTTCTGTCTTAATAATTGGTGTGTGGTTTATGACTTTTCAGTGAATGCAATTGATGTCTAGGAATGATGTAATTTTTGTAGAAGTAATTATTGAGTCTTTTCTTAATAATTTTCTCTAGAATTTTAGATAAGGATGGTATCACGCTTATTGGTCTATATTTTCTACGTTGGATGAATTTTTGTTTGGTTTTGGTATGGGTATCACTATAGCGTGTTTCCATAAAAGTGGGAAATAATCTGTCCTTAATGAAGAGTAATAATTATTATTTAAGAATACTATGGCTTGTTTTGACAGATTGTTTAGGATTTTATTATTTATTCTGTAATGTCCTGGAGCCTTTCTTCAGGAAGTTTTCATCAAAATGAAAAATAATGTTTAACAAAACTGTAATATATAATGAATTCATTTTACATTTGTATTGAATAATTTGTTTTTTAAATACTTAATATGCTTTTAACAAAAATGTATTCAGCTTCTGGATCAGTGACACCTGTCTCGATCAGGTTTTTGTCCAGTTGCCCTGATACATTGAGCAAATGTTAAGATGGCCCTATGAGCACGTTCTGTTGAACTCACCTTTTGCTTGAAGTGGTAGGAAGTAAGGTCGAGTTTATATTTTGTTAGCAATGCAAAAAATAAATTTTGCAGTTGCAGAAATGTACTGTTCAATGATCCAAAATTGATTTTGAGATTAAATATAATAAATCTTGACACCAAAATCTGGCAGTTCAGGTCAAAGTGTGTAGTGTACTGTGTGAAGGGAACAGCTTTCTTGCTATATTTTTAACAAATTGTCTGTGCAACATGCTCGTAGTGTATGTTTCAGATAAGGAACGAATTTGACTATCCCTCGTACTAAATGGTTAGTATTCCAAAATAGTGGATAAATTCCGAATTAGGAACAGCATCTAAGCTTGCTTCGACTGTAGGAGGATAATGTTGACTTGTGCAAATGTTCGGTGGCTAGGGTAACGAAAGTACAGTTCTAGCAAGAAAAATTAACATCAACCTCATCGGCAAAGTTCAGCCTTTTGGGCTGGCTTGGGCAGCCCATGTCATGACGAAATGTTGTAGACGGAGCCTCACAAACAGCCGCAGCCAATCTCAAAAGGGGGAGAAGTGGCCTAGCAAAATTAAATCGTAGAAAATGGCGGAGGTCGCTAGTTCAGATGTGGAAATAGTTCCATATAAAAATACATAGAATGAAACACTTTTATTATCATGAAAGTAAATACATTGAAATACATATATAATAAAATATCAGTTAACCTCAGTTAAAACAGTTCTTATTGAAAAAATTATGTTGATATGTAATAAAATAACACTAATTTAAGAGCGTTTAGATTCTCATACAGGTTTACATTCAATATTATTGTTTATAAATAATCCAGGACCTTTATCAAAGATCCAGTTTACTACAGATTTATCGAGAAGAAAAATATTATAACTGCCAGTTTTCAATTGTTCGTATGTTTATAAAATGAGAAAAAATTGCAAAATTGTGTATTTTTTGAATAGATAGATCATTTCTAGGGAACTATTTAAAACAAAATACCAAAATTCAAAGACCAAGTCAATATAGAGTATTTTAGTAACAAATAAAGTAAGTATTTGTAAGTGACAAGTAAGTGCGAGTTTGCATCTCTTGTAAAAATTGTTATTTTGCAATATTCACCTGAAAAGCAATTTGGGAACACTGCCCGGCAGGAATTGCACGGATTTCGGAGTTATTTATTAAATTGTAAATTGCTGTCAAATTGTTAATTTGCAATTTTCTTTTCTCGGAATTTTCAGCTCATTTTCACGCATCTTTATATCATTTAAAGCTTTCGTACTCAAATAAAGCAATATACAAATTGCCGATATTGTATGTATTACCGACGTGAAAGAGATGACAAATATATTATATTTGTGTAATTTAAAAAAAACCGAAAGGTTACAGCAAAATTGCATCTACGTCATTATATACAATGAATTTTGTGGTTTCGGTAGAAAAATATTTTAAAAAATAGAGCGTTTTGTAGAAAATCTACTTTATATTATTTTCTAATATTGTTTATATTGTACTCAAAGTTACGGCAAATTTACTACAAATTTTAAAA